ATTGAGTTGGGTGACCAGTGGTTTCGCCAGCGCTGCCGCCGCCGGTTCCACCGTGAGATGCAGTGCATCGAGGGCCGGTACCCTCGCTTGCCCCGGCGACAGCTGCAGGAGACGTCCTCGTCGTCGGTGCCCTCCTCGCTGCACTTGATGGTGTTAGTGGAAGTGTGTGATTGTGATGGAACGCTCTCATGACCACCACCATTTCCACTGACAATGTCCGAGGGTGAAGAGGGTGAAGAGGGGCGAGGGTGAAAGTTGGGCGGAGGGGACGTCTCCTCCTCGTCGACCAACTGCAGAAAGTCCTTCTCCAGCCAGGGACTGTGGTGGTAGTGCAGGCCCCAGTCGTTGTCGTTGCTATTTGGGTTGTGGCTTTTTGAGTGAGAGGTAGAGGAGAAGGATGATGATGAGGATGATGATGAGGATGATGAGGATGAACTATCGTAAGCTGTAGCCAAAGTTGGCGTTTGGGTGAGAAGAAGAAGTAGTAAATATAAGCTGAAAATATGCAAAAATGACGAGAGTATGGACGGAAGATGAGTGGCAGTTGAAAGCTTTGCCGCAAACATTTTGACAATTTTAGTTCTGGTAAAAGACTTTCTTATGTTAACTAAAAGTTCTTTAGTTTGTAAAAATGTGTGAGTTTGTTTCAATATTGTGATCAAAACAATTGCTCAGAAAGGAAAAAGAGCTAACTTGGCAACTGAAATGTTTAGGTGATGCTGCTGTCGCTGGAACGACTGTGCAGGCAGCGTACAGCTGTCAGTGTACAACACTGCTGCTCGTTTGCTCTCATTGAGTTCTTTCTCTCTTTCTCTCTCTTTCTTTTAGTTCCCGACTCGATTCAGCGCATTAGAACGGAATCAAAATCGGCAGCAGTAGCATCAGCAAAGGCAAGTTGTTTAGTATTATGAATGCAGCGGTATATAGCAAAAACAGAGTCTAATTTTCTGGTACTGATTGAAACTGGATTGAAAAAGGGAAAAAGAGAAAAAATTAACCTAGCACAATGATCTGTTTTGTTTATGCTTTAGCAAGTTGAATTTTTTTATGTTGTAGTATTTAGCGCACTTAATTTTATTAGAAATGCAGAAATTACAAACAAAATGTTTTTATTTAAAATTTGTTGTTGTTGTTTTACAATTTTTATTCAAAATGACATTTTTTGTTTGCAGCACATGCATAGCTAAAAAGAGTTTTGCAAAAAAATCTTGTCAATTTTAAGAAAAACTTTGCCAAAAATAATGTGTGTGTATTATTTGTTGTTAGTAATAGAATAGAATGTGATCAAATATTTGAATATGTTACAGAAAAGTATCATTTGTTACAGTATTTGAAAATATTGTTTCTAGCGTTATAAACTAAAAAATAAATCAGTTACAAAAGTTGGGATTGTAGTGTTTTCAAGTGTGCTCAAGGGTTTGACAATGAATAGTTTTTAAATTGAATAGGTAAGTTTGAGTAAGTTTAAAAGGAAAAAAAGCGTTCAGTAAAAAAATTAAAAAAGATTTAAGTAGTAGCGGTCTATTACCAAAAAACATCTGTAATGTCGTGCAAATGCAAAAGGAAAATTGTTCGACTAAATTCAATTAAAAATGGTCTAAATAGGAAAATACAAAACAATTTGGAAAAATGGGTAAGCAGTAGTTAGTGTTAGCAACTGATTTTAGCATTCACTTGCACAACAATACATTTAATTTTAGAATTTTAGTTGGGATTTTGTCGTTTTTGTTGTTTGCCTAAATTCAATTGAACCCTCATAATACTACCCAAAACTGTGTTCTTATCAAAACACTTTTTCTGCAAAATTTTGTTATTTTTTCTCTGAAACACACACATTATCCTCATCTCTCATTTTCCTTTCCATTTACTTCAATTGACCCTCAGTATTACTGCATTCTTTTGCTTCCTCTAGAAGGTCATCTTCCCATTGAGCAGCGGCTCAGTGGAGCTGACCCAGAAGTTGTAGTAGTCCTGGTAGCTGACGGCGATCTTCTCGCTTGTGTAGCGCGTCAGGCGGATGTCCTTGCGAACCGAGTCGGTGATCACGCCCCGATAGCCGCCCTTGCGCAGCAGCGAGTCAATCGTCTGCAGGTGGTTCCAGTCTGAAAAGTTGAAAGGGCAGAAGCAGAAATTATGTAATGAAAATGTACAAACATTGATTATTGTTCCGGCGCTTACTCTGCTCTGCGGCCACCTCCGGCAGGTAGGTGGCCGTCCGCTTGCTGCCATTCTCATTGCGGAACTCAATGCGAATGCCATGCACGCCCACCGCCCAGTCGAGGTAGTCATTGCCGTCCTCGAAGTTGAGCAGCAGCGAGACGCAGACGTGCAGCTTGTTGAACTCCTCCTTGCCAATTGGCTTGAAGCGGCTGTCTCGTAGGGCACTGGGGGGGAGGGGGGGGAAATATAGTTTAGACGGCGATGAGAATCATTTTAAAGAAAGATAACAACAACTTCCAACAAAACAGATGTTGTTACCTTGAGAGGGCATAGTCGCGCAGCCCGGTGTGCAGCGGAATGGCGTTGAAGGTGCCGATGCAGCCGCGAAGGCGCTTGTCGTGGCCGATCTTCCAGGTGACAAAGAGCGGACTGGTTAAAGTAATAAGAAAATGGATTGAAGATTATCAAATGATAGATTTCAGATTTCAGATTGTTTTAAACCGAGTAATTTGCTCCTCAATCACTTACAAGTGATTGTTGGTGAAGGTCGGCCGCGAGGGCGAGCTCT